GCTCAGTCGGTTGAGTGTCTGACTTCGGCTCAGGTCACAATCTCGGTTCGTGAGTTCGAGCCCTGTATCGGTTCTCTGCAGACAGCTCAGAGCCTGGAACCTGCTTCAGATTCTGTGTCTCCCTCTCTCTCTGCCCCCCCTCCCCTACTCATGCTCTCTCTCAAAAATAAATAAACATTGAAAAAAAATTTTTTTTTTTAAATTTTGGCCAAGTTGCTTTTTTAAGGTGAAGGGGATGTTCTAAAATTACATAGTAGTGATGCTTGCACATCTCTGGGGAACATAGTGGAACCACTCCATTGTATACTTTATAAGGGTAAATTTTATGGTAAGTAAATTGTCTTAATAAAAATATTACTGAAGAAACCAGGCCATTACACTCCTATTAGAATGGCCAAAGTCCAGAACACTGACAATACCAGATGCTCACGAGGAGAGCAACAGAGACGCTCACTCACTGCTGGTGGGAATGCAAAATGGTGCAGCCACTCTGGAAGACGGTCTGGTGGCTTCCTACCAAGCCAAACGTACCCTCACCGTCTGACCCAGAAATTCTGTTCGCTGGAGCTGAAAGCATACGTCCACACGAAAACCTGCACGTGGATGTTTTACAGCAGCTTTAGTCATCACTGCCAAAACTTGGAAACACCAAGATGTCCTTCAGGGGGTGAATGGATAAGTGAACTACGGTCCATCCAGACAACGGAATGTTGTTCAGTGCTAAAAAGACACGAGTTGTATCAAGCCACAAAGAGACACAGAGGAACCTTAAATACATATTGCTAAGGGAGAGAAGGCAGTCTGAAGAGGCCACCCACTATGTGATTCCAGCTACATGAACCTTCTGGAAAAGGTGAAACTATGGAGGCAGTAAAAAGCTCCATGCTTGACCGGGGTTAGGTGAGGGCGGGGGGCTGTGAACAGGCAGAACACGGAGGATATTTGGGCAATGACAATACTCCGTGCGATATACTATAATGACGGATATGTGTCATTATACTCTTGCCTGAACCCAGAGGGGGTACAACACCAAGAGTGGATTCTAACGTAAACTGTGGTCTTTGGGTGATAATGACATGTCAAAGTGGGTTCATCAATTGTCACAAATGTACCCTCCGGTGGGGGATGTGGATAAGGAGGGGGTCGCTGTCCATATGCGGGGCCAGGGGGTATATGGGAAATCTCTGTACTTTCAATTTTGCTGTGAACCTGAAAGTGTTCTAAAAAATAAAGACATTTTTGTATTAAAAATTTTTTTTAGAGGTGCCTGGGTGGCTCAGGCAGTTGGGTGTCCGACTTCAGCTCGGGTCATGATCTCGCGGTCCGTGAGGTTGAGCCCCATGTCGGGCTCTGTGCTGGCAGCTCAGAGCC